ATGAATTGAAAAAATTTCTTTGAATATTTCCACCCAGTTGTTAAACTTCTGTGAAGAGAAACAAACTTTGTTTCTTATTCATTTGAGAAGCAAATTTTGTTTCTTATTGCCATCATGGACTTGATTTCAGCTAACCAGAGGACAGGTGCGATTTTTTCGACATTTTCCAACTTCAATCAGAAGGACTAAAACAAAAGCAAATTTCAAATTTCACAAAACTAAATAATTTAGAAGAAGCATAAGTAATTAAACTTTCAAATGCACTAGTATTCTGAGATACCCTGTCTATCTTAAACATGGAGTGGGGAAGACATCACTTTGCTTTATCTTTGACCTTTTGCCCCAAATTTTGCGCCTTTCCAGCTCTCCCTGATGTGACCAGGGCCTTCCCTCACCTACTTTTTGGCCTCAGCCTGTCGCTGAACTAGCCACCTCCGCCCCTCTGTGGGCACTCGGCTGCTGCAGGGCAGCCCTTTATCTCTGCAGGTGGGTGTGCGCTGCATGGTGAGGGCGCTGCTGCCGTTGCCTGGCAACAGATGCTTGCATTGCCGGCAATTCCTTGATGAGCTCTATGCTCCACCTACAGCTGTGCTCCCCCTTCTCCAGGTGAGCTAGCAAGGATTTTGAATTCTGATCCCATAGTCGGAAACACGAATTAGGATCAGTTTCAAGGAAACTGATCAGACAAGGAAAAGGCCAGGTGACTGAGGTTTTTGTTTTTAAAGGTGTGTTGTCCTCCTACCTGATAAATGTAGGACTAACTAAAGATTGATTTTGCATTTCTTTTAAGAAACACTGCATCCCTACATAAGGACATTGCTTTTATATTTCAGAGTGTTTAGCACTGTATTTTGGAACACACTGTAGGTCATACAGTGCAGGTCCGTTGTATTAGATCTGTTCATCTAACCACATCAGATTCAACATATAAAAAGTTATCTTTAACCCTAATTCCTAAACCTTAACAAGTGGAAACATTTTGCTTTATTTTTAGGGTAAATATCCGGCTGCCTTAAAAATGTGGCTTCTGAGTTCTAATTTAATTCTCCCTTTATAAGTTTTAATGGAATTTGTTTTGTCCCCTCCTCACAATTTAAAGAAATCTTGGCATTAAAAAATGACATAAACATTCCACTAAACTGCTATTTTTATATACCTTCTCTCAACTTCTGGCTGCTCCATTAGCCATGCTACAGGCCAGGATGACATTGCCATGTGTGAATATTTGTGTTAACACAGATATGAGGCCTGAAAATAGCACTAAATAGCCTCCTTTCACAAAATTAGAACCCTTGACCTATCTCAGAATGTAGCATAGCACTGTATGTTTGCTTCACTCTATGTCAAAAAGAGTGATTTAATGCTTTTTTTAAAGAGTATTTTTGTTTTCAGTGTGGTACTAAACTGCACAAGTATTTTGTAAATTTAAAATTAGGCCATGAGATTCCTTTTTTAATTTAAATAATTTTATTGTTGTTCAATTACAGCTGTATGTATTTTCTCCCCACAGTTCCCCACCCCCCCAGAACCCACCTCCCTCCCTTGCTTCCACCCTCCCCCTTGGTTTTGTCCATGTGTCCTTTATAATAGTTCCTGAACACCCTTCTCCCCACTGTCCCCTCCCCCTCCCCTCTGGCTATTGTTAGATTGTTCTTAATTTCAATGACTCTGGCCATGAAATTCTTTTACTGAGAACCCACACTGCAAGCAAGAATTATCTTTGGCATAAATTCATTAATCTATTCAGCAAAGATTCATGGGGCAGCTGCCCCTGGTCAGGCACTGAACTAGGCACAGGTACAGCAGGTGCAAAGGACAGACTCAACATGGCCCTCATGGAGTCTGCAGTCTAGTGGAGTTTTAGAAGAACAGTAAACAGAACAATTCTAATGGAGGGTGCTGGTGAGATAATGGAACCTGGAGAAGGGGTACTTAATCCTGATTGTGGAGGCAGTAGTGAGGTTAGAAGAATAACTAGGAGTTAGTCAACTGAAGAAGGGGCCAAGAGCGAGGAGCAGCACCAACCCATGTAGCCAAGTGATGAGCTAAGGTGCTTAGGAAGTGCAAGTAAAAGAACAGATGGGGGAAGGGGAAGAAGTGAGAGCTGAAGCCCCCAGAAGTTCACACTGACCCAGTCTTGAAGGGCCATGGCCAGGGGCTTGCAAGTGATAATGAGTGACATGGTCAGATTTGTACTGTCACTGTGGCAACTTTGTGCTTGGTGCACTGGAGTAAGAGTGAGCAGAAGACCACCGCTGAAACCCAAGTTAGATTAGTGATCTAAGACAATGGCAGTGGCAGGTGGGGTGGAAAGGACAGTACAGATATTCAGGACACAGATAAGCAAGATTCTGTTTGGGTTGGCAAGCAGGAGGAGTCAGGAATGACTTCCATGTTCTGGTTGGACAATGGGGCCCTTATTCCCAGAGAGGAGTAGGTTGGAGATCTGAGGTGGGCTTTGGGGATTAGGTCAGGCTTTGGCAGTGAGAGTTGGAGATCCCTGTGAGGTACAAAGGTAGTGGTGTACTGGGAGACAGCAGTGGACTGGAGAGTGAGCTGGAGATCTGATGTGAATGTAGCCAGGTCTGTGTGTACAGAGTATGCAAGATACAGTCATCCTCAACGGGAGTGTGCCTAAGGGGAGAAAAGCTGTTCTGGGTCCAAGGCACCTCCCCTCAGTGGAGGAGTGGAGGATCTACCAGCCAGAGGACAGGCAGGAAATGAAAAAGACCAGCTGGTGGAAGCCAGAGGACAAAAGCATCTCAAAAAGAGTCAGAGCCAGCTCCACAGAGAAGCTCCACAGAGAAGTCAAAGAAAGCAAAGACCAAAGTTTAGCCACTGGGAGACACTGATGACCCTGATGAGAATAGTTCCAGGGAAAGTGGGCTGGCAGAGGCTGAGGTGTGAACAGGCAGTAAGGAAGGACAAGTGGAGTCATTCTCTTTTTAACTCTTGTCTGTAGTGGACAGGAAGAAAGTTGGTGGATCTTACCAAGGACTTGTCACTGAAGGAGGGCCTGTTGGTTTTAAATGGGACAGCGTTAAATGTACTTGTACACCTCTAGAAAGCAAGCCAATAGAAAAGAGGTTGAAGAAAGAGGGGATATCAGAGGAGAGGAGACACATTGACAGGGTGAAGAACTGCCATGACCCTGGGCTCAGGAACAGCATTGTGGGAGCCCCCACTAGGTGGGGGTTTGCTCTCAGTGCAGGAAAAGGCCAAGCCATCTAGAAAATGAGGGAAATGTTGTGGATTTAGAGAAAAGTGGGCACCTGAAGGCAGAGCTCAGCAAAGGCATGTAAAAGAATCCTCGTGCAGTGCCTGGGCCCCCAGAGCCTAGACAGCATCAACTTGTGACAACTCACAGGGAAGTGAGCTCCACAGCACAGTGCTGGCCCAGGACAACTGCCCAGTCACCTCTTTTGCCCTTCTTCCTTCAAGTACAGCAACCCAAGTGCAAAGAAAGTGGCTGCCCCTCTGGGCTGGCTGTAGTAGCAATGGAGGGACCTACCTCCCACTCAATCACAATACCTGAGGACACATGCCTGTCCCTTGCGCTCACTTGTTCCTGGCTACAATGCCAATTTTGAGGTCAGAGTGTCCTCGAGAGAAGGAGCACAGCTGTTCAGAGTACTGCAAAGGAAAACGGGGGCTGGAGGTAGACAAGAGGCTAAGGGAGGCGGCGGTGTGGGTGTGCTGGAAGAGTCTAGAAAATGAAGGGAACAAAGGCGGTGTGACTGGTGAGCTTCTTACAGAGCCTCCTCCCTGATAGAATATGTATGATCCTGCGTGAGGCCTCCCCTGCCTGAGAGCAGGGAGGCAACCCGAGGACTGGCAGGGAGCTCCCGCCCAGACCCGCTCTCCTGGGCTTGGGTGTGAGACAGTGGCCCGGCAGTGGTTGGGACACCACGTGGATGAGCTTCTCAAGGGCCAGCACCTTTCGTGCTAGCGCCACTCCGTCCACCAGAACCAGCGTGCGGCCACCTCCCCCCATCTCCAGCCGGCCAGCTCCCGCTTCCCAGCAGCGTGGAACCCCCCGCGGAATTCAGACCCGGAGGGAGCGCAGGTCTCGCGCAGGAGGCAGAGAGGGGCGCGGCAGGCTAGCGAGTAGGTGCCCATAGTCGCCTGTGGGAACTCAGCAGTGCAGTCCGTTGCTCCCGCGGCTCTCTCGGCCACCACTCCTCGGGGTCCGGCACCGGACGGAGAACACGGCCTCTTCCGGGCCCCCTCGGGGCGCTTCGCCGCCGCGCACCTGGAGGCGGGGCCGAGCCGGGCTGAGCCGGGAGGGGGACCGCAGGGCGGGTGAGGGCGCAGCGCCACGCCGCCGGCTCCTGCAGAGCCCGGCGCTCTCTGCCCCTTGCACTATTCACTGTATTCCATTTATCCAGCAAATAATTCTGAACAGATATCTTTAAAAAGCCTCTGACTCCGTGCGTCTTCCCTGCATCCTTCTTAGTTACGAATTTGCGGTGGGCAGGGGGAGGGAGAAGAACGCGTTCTGATTGGAAAACACCGAGAGACCAGAGCATCTCTTTCAGCACCAAGGAAAAGAAGCCGTGGCAGGATCCGCGCATTATCTACAACTCTCTTTTGCTTTTTTGTGCAAATTCCTAACTGCCTGACGTCCAACCAAGCAGGCAGGCATGGGCTGTTTGGGCAACAGCAAGACAACAGAAGACCAGGGCGTCGATGAAAAAGAAAGACGCGAGGCCAACAAAAAGATCGAGAAGCAGTTGCAGAAAGAGCGCCTGGCTTACAAAGCGACTCACCGCCTGCTGCTACTGGGTAAGAAGGGAGGGGACCCGCCGTGGCTGGAGAGGCTACTGGCTGGAGAGGAGCGCACAGCCAGCGACTCCAGCCGGCAACTCCAGCCCAGAGCTGCCGTGTACTTGGTCGAGAATGCGTGCGTTGGGGTAGGATAATTGCTCAATGTGTGTTGGCATGAAAGATGGCAAACGCAAAGGGCTACAGATCACAGCATTCTTTTCGTTTGTTTGTAGGGGCTGGTGAGTCTGGGAAAAGCACTATCGTCAAACAAATGAGGATCCTGCATGTCAATGGATTTAATCCAGAGTAAGGAATGATCAATTTCGATTTTGCTTCTGAACTGCATGCAAACTTTGTAACTTCTTTCTCAGCCTCCCCTAAAGTGCTTAGAAAGTAGGCAATCAGTTTACTCATTGAACTGGGTAATTCGATATTCTTCTACCTTTAAGGGAGAAGAATATAGGGGTGTATTGTTGAATTTGGTGTATTATGTTGGATTGACCAAAAAGTTCATATGGTTTTTTTCCATAAAATACCTCTAGTAATGCTTCATTAGCTGTTTTTAACTTCATTCTAAACAATTTTGTTAACTTGTATTGTGACAGCTGTCATATCCATGTGCATTTAAAAAACAACAAATTGGTGAATCTGTAGTAGCCATTTTAATATTGGCAACATTTTGGCATATTGTGCTTTATTATTTCAAGAAAGGTAAAAGCACAACAAAAAAAGATGTATGCAGTGTATGGAGAAGGTGCAGTGACTGATGGAAGTTGGCAAAAGTGGTTTCAAGGTTTCTGTGCTGGCAGTTTTTTACCAGACAATGCTCCACTGTTGGGTAGACCAGTTGAAGCTGATAATGATCAAATTGAGACAGGAAAACAATCACCAGTTATACCACACCGGAGGTAGCCGACATACTCAAAATATCCAAGTCAATAAAATTCTTGGTGAAAATGAAAAAATGTGTATTTTATTTTATGGACTTTATGGACAAAACCGTATCAATTTTTTGGCCAACCCAATACATAGATAAATCCTTTTTATGACATGACAAGTTTGCCACATTTTGTGTAACTTTTACAGCTGTTTAAAGCTATTCAAATTGGTTTAGAGTACAAATTAGAAAACAGGGATGTTTTCCTTTCCCAGATAAAAACTTGGCGGATAAAAACTATTGTCCTGGGGGCTGATGTTGACTTCTAGGAAAGCTAGTTTAGCCAAGTGCCACAGCTGGAAATTTAAAATCCCACTCAGTTCATTCAAATCAGTGCTAACAATAAATTAATAACACTTCTCTTTTAATTATTTAATTTAATAATGTTCTCTTTTAACAGGGAAAAGAAGCAGAAAATTCTGGACATTCGGAAAAATGTTAAAGATGCTATTGTGGTAAGGATTTTTATTTAAATGCTTGTTTACTTAAAAAGTTAAGTACTATTCTCTCTGAAACTGTGTAGACAGAAATATATTAGATTACCACACATGGAGCCTAAGTGGTATGTTTATCCACATATATATTTTTCTTTATTCCATTTTAGACAATTGTTTCAGCAATGAGTACTATAATACCTCCAGTTCCACTGGCCAACCCAGAGAACCAATTTCGATCAGACTATATCAAGAGTATAGCCCCTATCACTGACTTTGAATATTCCCAGGTACGTAAATCTTTATTGAAATGTTTTAGGTGGTGCAAGATGGAACCATTTTTAATGAGGTGGCTTACTGAGAATCAATGTTAATATTAATTCATTATTAACTCTCTTCAAAATCTAACTCTGCTTAAAGGAAATCATTTCCTTTGTATCAAAATATTAACAATAGGACTAGAAAAATGCTTTTGTGAATGTATTGGTAAGACTGATATTCAGGAAGACAGCATATCTTTAAGAAATATCTTTAGCACTTTTTCCTATATGTATTTCTGAATTAACGATTAAGTAGTTTCCAAGATAATAAATGAGTAAAGATTCCATGAGTAGAGAGAAGTACTTTCTGATATGTGAATGCTTCTAAAGGAAAAAATTGGAAGAACAGAATTCAATTTACTTTTAAGGTGTGTATCCTTCAGATCAAATGACAAGAAAATACATGCTGTAAATAATAACATGGATTACTTCTGAACATTTACTGTCTGGTAGAAAAATGTAGTTCATTTTACATCTGCAGGATTTAGGCCTGCTTTCCTAATCACTTGGATGACAGTATTGCTTATGCAATAGGATATGAATATTAATTTTCTCTTATTTGTGAATAAACATTTCTTTAAAATATTGTTATTTGGCAATTAGATTACGCACGTTTCGAAGCAAAATATGTTTGTTAAATTTCTCAGGAAATCACCTTTGTTACAGCTGTGCCCAAAAGTATATAGGTGTGCTGTGTGTGTGTACCCATCAGTAACAGTATTTCAAACTTTTCACTGCCTGGCATGGTAGTCTTGCAACATTTTTCACCCTCAGAATCCTCTCCTTCAAGGGAAACCAATGCAGAACCGGTGTGTACAATAGATAGGCTCTGCCCTGTTTTCACCCAAGTGCGGGTCCGTGGGGCCTGCTCAGCCCTCCCCCTTCTCTTGAACACAACATGGTTGTCCTATAGGCTCTGTATCCAGATGGCAGATAATTACTTTTTTAGGCTTTTATTTGCATCCTGTAACGTATTTACAGCACATTATTATTTACAGCTTTTATTTGCAATCCATGGGATTGTTGCTTCTGATAGGCATTGCAATGTAACTAGTGAGATTTCTACAATTTCTAAAAAGGAGTCGGTGGAGCAAAATGGCTAGAAAAAGAGATAAGGCATCTGTCACAGCAATGCCCACTTTTTTTTTACTAAACTGTCTATAATTGATTAGATGGCTTGGAGGGGGTTAAACCGTGATCACCTCCCCCAACCAGCTTCATGCCAAGCTGAGACTTCCATGAATGGTAACGTTGAGAGCAGAAGTGGACATAGAGAAGTGCAGAAGGGGGATGGCACTTGCCAGGATCTACAAATGACTCAGTGGGGATGAGAGCAGGTTGGAGACCAACAGCTGAAAGAATAGAGGGAAAAGCAGACAGGTTACAAAGGCTTCAAGTGCTTGTCGAGAGATTCCAGTCCCCCCCCCAAGGCTGTGGAGAACCAGTTGCCAAGCCTAGTCAGGGAGCCACGAAATGCAAGTTGTCTTTGGCTGCTTTTGCGTATCTACCCTTGGAATGGTGCTTTTGGAGTTTGTCTGACATTGAGCAAAGGACATTTACTCCATCAGAAACCTTCTAATCCTCACATTGCTTATGTCAAAATGCTAAAAAAGCATGGAACCACCATAGAGAATTAGTATTATTCTTTGTTTGCATATCTGATATACTAATAAGAGGAATCACTATCAATTAAAATATTCCAATGAGGTCTAGAGCTTCAATGAAGATACTTTTTAAATTCTTTTTCTTTGAAATATTATCATAAGGTATATTTCTAATAATTAATTTTTATTTTGAAACTATTTTAAACCTACCCCCAAAACAAACATAGTACAAAGAACTCCCATAAACCCTTCCCCTAGACTTATCAATAGATAATATTTGGCCATACTAGTACACTTTTTTATGAACCACTTGAGGGTTGGTTGCAGAAATCCTGCTCTTTTACTTCTAAATACTTCAGTATGTATTTCCTATGAAAAAGGACATCCACTTACATCACCACAGCACAGTTATTGGAATTAGGAGATTTGACATTCATACAGTGTTATTTTGTAATCTACAAATATTATTCAAGTTTTAACAATTGTCCCAATAATATAGTAAAACTATGTAATGGTAGTAACAATAACTCTGATCAGTAATCCAATCCAGAAACAAGAACTGCATTTAATTTCTATTTCTCCTTTATTTTAGAACAGTGCCTCAGCCTTCCTTTTTTTCTTCATGACATTAACCAGACATTTATGTTACGGAATGTCCTTTCTATGGTTCCTCTAGAAACCATAGACTCGGTTGGTGACTAGACTTAGCTAGTGCTTTGGCATCAAAAGTACAGAAGTGATCTGTGTCCTTCCCAAGAACTGGGGACACTAATTCTGATCACTTAGTGAGGTGCTATCTGCCGTGTGTCTCTTCTGTAGAGGTACCTTTCTTTTCCCCTTTGTAATTTTTAAGTATGCTTAGGAATGTCCTTTGAGACTATAAAAATATCCTGTTGTTATCAAACTGTCTACACTTTAGTTTTAGCACACTAATACATTTTCTCTACAATAAATATTTAAGGGAGAATGCTTTTGTCAGTTCTTCTGACTACTTCTAAATACCATAAGGAAATGAAATAGAGTGTGGATCATCATGCTGCTTTTCACATCATAAAAGCACATCATTGGAGGATCAGCCAAAGCAGCACCATCTTGTCTACACCAACACGCCAAGAAAACTGGGCTTTGGCCACAAATTTCCCTTACTTGTTTCTTCTTGTAGAAAATACATTTGCACCCTGGCTTGTGTGGCTCAGTGGATTGAGCACCAGCCTGCAGACTGAAAGGTTGCCAGGTAGATTCCTAGTCAGGGCATATGCTTGGGTTGCAGACCAGGTCCCCAGTTGGGGGTGTGCAAGAGGCAACCACACATTGATGTTTCTCTTACACATTGATGTTTCCCTCCCTCTCTCTCTTCCTCCTATCCCCTCCCTCTAAAAATAAATAAATAAAATATTTTTTAAAAGAAAATAAATTTGAACTGTCACAAAGTAAAGCAACATTTTTTTAATTTCTTGAATGTCAGTGAAACTTCAAATCCTTTGATAATGTGCTGTCAAGCTTCATCTCAAATTTGGATGTATTGAAAGTTTGTTGCCTGGTTTACGAAAGCAAAAGTTCACATGTAAAGACACCTGCTGTTTTCAGAAGGATATGACATTAAAAATACCTCAGTATTAGAGCATTTTGTCCTTATTGGTAGTTTTACATAACTCTGAGAAAAAACGTTTTGAACTTTTCAGGGCCCTCTTGGGAAGTGATGAAAGGAGCAGTAGGCTACCCATATGTCAAATCAAGATTTGAATGAGTTGACACATGTGGTTTATGAGAAAGGTACACTGAGGTTTTAAGAGGCAATATAATGAGTTTTGCATGAGAATATCATCTATGAATGTATGTATGGGGTTTTTCCTTCACCTCTTTTTTTTTTACTTTTTTTATATTTTATTTATTTATTTTTAGAGAGAGGGGAAGGGAAGGAGAAAGAGTGGGAGAGAAATATCAATGTGTGGTTGCCTCTCGTGAGTACCCTGCTGGGAACTGGCCTGCAACCCAGGCATGTGCCCTGACTGGGAATTGAACCACGATACTCTGGTTCGCAGGCCCGCACTCAATCCACTGAGCTATGCCAGCCAGGGCTTCCTTCACCTCTTAAAATAATCCCATACAATTTTTATTTTGTCCTTTATTATGGCATATAGTTTGAATTAAATCAACTTTATGGATAACAGTGTCACTACACAAAGCAATTTTATTTTTAAAATTGGATTTGTATTTGTTTAAATAAGAAGTATTTGTTTATGATACAAAATCCAAAAGACATAAAAGAGTGAAAAGTCTCTCTCTGACTCCTCTTGCCCCAGGCACCGAGGTCTCATCCCCAGAGACAGCCATTGTGGCATAACATGTGTCGTCTTTCTCACATGAATTTCCCGTTTCATTCTGTGCTCATCCTGCATTTTTCCCTCTTGTCTTTAGGACATTCTGCCAACCCCACATTGTTTTTTTTTTCACAGAGATAGTTTAAAATTTCTTCCCAAGAAAAGAAAAAAACCCTGGCTTCCTTCCCAAGTGACATGCTCACTTACATCTATACGGTGTATGCTGTTACTCTTTCCCATCAGTTCTTGTCTTGCTCTCACCACTTTCAAAACCTGTCTACTGGCCCTGACCCAGTGGCTCAGTTCTTTGGAGAGTCATTCTGTACACCAAAAGGTTGAGGGTTCAGTCCCCAGTCAGGGCATGTATGGGAGGCAACCAATGGATGTATTTCTCTCACATCAATGTTTCTCTCTCACTCAAATCAATAAACATATCCTTAGGTGAGGATCTAAAAAAGAAACCTGCCTATTTTTTTAATATCCTCTACCTAAAAAAGTAAGATTCCCAAGAACACACGTGCATTTTGTATATTTGTCCTTAAGGTCCATATTGAGCACTTAGTAAGTATTCGGTGTTGAGTTTAAGTTCCTCCAACTAACAAGGCTGGACTGACTTACAAAGCTGATATGTGTCATGATTTCAAATGTTTAACTGTTATGCCCATTCTTTTATTTAAAGCTCACATAATGCTTAAGCACATTGAGGTTTGCCATTTCTTTGGGGTAGAAACCATATCCTCCTTGCTTGGCACACGCAGTCATGTGCTGCACAACACTGTTTGGTCAGCAGTGGATGGCTCATATGACAGTGGTGCCATAGATTATGATGGAGCTGAAAAACTCTGTCACCTAGTGAGTGAGGTCATAGCCATCATAACGTTATAGCACAACACATTACTCACATAATGTTGTTTTGTGGTGATGCTGCTATAAACAAGCCTACTGTACCACCCATCATATAAAAATATAACGCATGCAGTTATGTACAGTACCTAATATTGGATAATAATAATAAGTTACTATGTTACTGGTTTATGCGCTTACT